GAAGAAGTGGGAAATAGACGTGTAAATATCTGAGTGATATTGCATTTGATAGGAAGGACAAAGGCCCTAATGCACAAGTGTGTCTGGTATGCTCAAGGAATTACAAAATGGCCAGAGTTACTGAAGCATGGTAAGTGGGAAGGCAGGTAGTAGGAGATAAGGTCAGAGAGGTACTGGAGGCCAGATCAAATAAGGACCTTGTCTTTTATTTTGAGTTACATGAAAGAAGCTGCTGGAAAAGTTATGAGCAGAGGAATGAAATGATCTTTCATTTAAGAAAAATCAGTCTAGCTGTCTATGGAGAATTAACTATAGGAGTCAGAGGTGAAGGCTTGAAGACTTTTGCAAATTTCCAGGTTTGAATTAAGGAGGTAATAGTGGTGGTGCCAAAGGATTTGCTGGTGGATCCTATGTGGATTACGGCAGAGAAAGTTCAATGATGATACCAAAGTTTTGAGCATAAGCAGCCAGAATGACAGAACTACCATTCTTGGAATGGGAATGGCTAAAGGAAGAAAAGTTTGGGAGAGAAATAGGACTTCTATTTTGTACATGCTCATTTGAGGTGCTTACTACACATCCAAGTGAAGATGGCAAGTTGGCAGCTGGATATATGAGTCTAGAGTTTAGGGCAATGTTCCAGGTAGAAGTGTACATCGGGGAAAGAGTAGCATAAAGATAATATTTAGAGCCACTAAACTGGAGAGTGAGTACAGACAGAAAAGATGATTTGGGACTGATCTCTAAAACAGTCCAACACTTAGAGGTTGGGGAGATGAGGAGAAATGGGGAAGGGGAGTGAGGACGGAGGAAAACTGGAAGAGCATGGTATCAAACAGTGCTCAAAGAAGGTCGAGACACACAAGGAAATGATTAACCACTGGATTTGACAATGAGACACCACAGCTGACTCTGACAAGAGCACTTTCAGGGGTAAGTATTAAAGCTCAATTTGAATAGTTCAAGAGAGAATGGAGGCAGAACAAAACAAACCTGGGAACACAGTGTTATAATAAAGGAGAGGTGACTGACTGAGAAGTAGCTAGAGGTGACTATGGGGAAAATTCCTCTGTTTCATTTTTTAACATGGGGAAAATAACAACATGCATGTATGCTGTGAGGTGTGGGAAGATACTGAAAAGAGGGGAAATTAGGGGCATCTGGGTGGCTCAGTTGGTTAAGCATTCAACTCTTTGACTTCAGCTCAGGTCATGATCTCACAATTCATGAGTTCAAGCCCCACATTGGGCTCTGTGCTGACAGCACAGAGCCTGCTTGGGATTCCGTCTTCCCCTCTCTCTGTCCCTCCTCTGCTTGCCCTCTATCTCTCAAAATAAATAAAAAATTAAGTAAAAAATTAAAAAAAAAAAAAGAAAAGAGGAAAAATTAATGGAAGAGGACAGAACAACTGCTGGGACAAAAACCTTAACCTAAGAGACAGGATGGGATGTAGTACACAGGTCAAAGAACTGGTCTTCCATAGCAAAGTGATTACTTTATTCCTACAGGAGGCAGAATGTATGGGATAGAATGTCTAAGAAGGGCAATTAACAGCATACATGAGTTAACAGCCTCTTTAAGTCAGCAATTTTGTTTGTAAAAATTTGCCTCTTTAAGGATATAGTCATGTTTAAGTACGAAGACATAGCTATAAGAATGCTGATGGCAACATTATATTCAGAAGTACAAAACTGAAGGCATCATAAGACACTATCATTAGCTACTGGACTTTTCAGGCCTAAAATCTATTTAAGAAAAAATGTTTAAAAGATGTTTAAAGTTTTATCAAGCAGTAACTCAGAAAACCTGAGTTTTCTCAATGATACACAACCTAAAAGCCAGTTTTAAATATGAAATCTATTTTAGGATGTTTTCTATTAACATATTTCATATATTTAGCTTCAGAAGGATAACACTTCATTTACAGAGACTAATAGCTAATAAACGTTTTTTAAAAGTTCAGCTTCACCAGCAAATAAATGCAAATTAAAACAATAGGGAAAAAACCCAATAGGATATTATTTTCCACTTGTACAACTGGCCACATTTTTAATACTTGGTTGGCAATGGTGGGAAGCAAGCAATCTCACATATTGCCTATACAAACTTAACTAGCATGGCCTCTTTGGAATGCAATTTGATAGCATATTTCAAAAGCTTTAATAATACATGTGCTATTTATCCCAGAAATTTTACTTCCACTTTAAAGAAATAATCATGGTCTACATAAAAGATGTAGTTACAAGGTTATTAACTGCAAAAGTGCATACGACAGTGACAGCTAACTGAATGTATCCTAAAGGTCCAACAATAATTACGTAAAAATACTGTAAGATAATGAAATTCTATTCACTTAGGGAAATGACGCTGTGGAAGGATGGTTAATGACATGCAAGAATCTTCATTATACAGTATTAAGGGAAAGAAGTACTACATGTACATTATAATTCCATGTTAAAGAAAAAGATAAGGCTGGAAAGCTACCCATCAAAATGTTAATGCCTCTAGCAGCTGCTTCTTAAAGGTAAGATTTTGAGTGACTTAAGTTTTCCTCTATCTACCTATCTTTATTTTCTAGTTTTTATATAATGAATATGTATTACTTACCAAATAAATTTGAGTGGTGATGGACTCAGACCCACCATCAGAATGTATTACTTATCAAATAAATTAAAAGCAGTAATTTTGTTAAGGATATATTTTTACAGTTTCTTAAAATTAGAAACCTAATAAACGTTTTTTTTATTTGTCTAATATAGGTATATTTTGTGGAAGCAACTGAATGTTTACAATATTGGCTCTTTATGATAATCAAGACTGTTTACATATTTCTAAAAAGAAGACCTCCATTATCAGTAATGCTAACTTATTTATGACAAGGTGGAATTGGTACTTCCCTTCTCATTTCAGTGTCCTTTTTATAATAAGATAGTAGAAATCCCTCAGCGTATGAAGGAGAGGAAGCTAGACATACAAGTTTGGATTAGTGCATCAAAGAAAGACAGTTGCATAAAAATGCGGACAAAAAGTGGTTAAGCAAGTTGGAGGCAGAGAGCATTTATCATTAAACTCATTCTGAGGGGACCACCTGAGAAAGTTCCATTATTGTATTTTTAAAAGTGTTGCAGTAATCACTATAGTCTCTTATGTATGTAGGAGAGTAATTACTATAGTCTCTTATGTATGCAGAATTAGTATTCACATTCATCTTTATATTTTAAAGTCACTTCCTAAATCATTACAAATAGCCTTTCTACCTACTTGTCAATGGCCAAACTCCTACGTCCAGCTGTCATCTTGCTCTTTAATTCCAGACCTGTGGCCCACTCTGCACAAACTAGCTGTGTGTTTAGACAAGCTACTTAAGCTCTCTCTGTTTCAGTTTTCTCATTTATAAAATTAGCTTTTGAGGATTAAATGAGTTAATAGAAGGAAAGCACTTTGAATAATGCCTGATATACAATAAGCATTCAATATTACTAGCATTCTTTCCACTAGTATTATTTTTGAACTACTGTCTTCAAAAATGTCCTGAAATCTAATATACCCAAAACAGTATAATTTTATGCCTGTTCAAAATTCTTGCTCTATTTGGTTTTTATTTTTATTTTTTTTTTCAACATTTATTTATTTTTGGGACAGAGAGAGACACAGCATGAGCGGGGGAGGGGCAGAGAGAGAGGGAGACACAGAATCGGAAACAGGCTCCAGGCTCCGAGCCATCAGCCCAGAGCCCGACGCGGGGCTCGAACCCACGGACCGCGAGATCGTGACCTGGCTGAAGACGGACGCTTAACCGACTGCGCCACCCAGGCGCCCCTCTATTTGGTTTTTAGATGTAAAGTACTAGAATTATCACTTTCCCCAAGTGATCCACTTACTCAAGTTAAAAATCTTGGTACCATAAGACTGTGTTACTACTCCTTCACCACCTAAAGTATCTTCACACTCCTACCTCTCACATAGGGACTTCTCTCACTAGATGATGATTATCCTGGTGACAGGGACTACATTATTATTTTCAGAATTTCATGAATTGCCCTTACTGTTGACATCTGTGTATCCCTGGCAGCTGGTAAAGTTTCTTTCCTACATTAGATCCCCAATAAATGCATCTTCCAGTGTGCGTGTGTGTGTATGTACATTACATATATACCTATAATACTCTCTTTCTGTTTTCCTTAAAGCTTTAGCTTGATCATAACACTTTTAAAGTATATAATCATTCTATTCAGGAAGCCAATTATGTAATCACACCTTCAAAAAATTTACAGATATCATCTGATTAATTTTCAATGCTGGTGAGATTGTAGGAAATTCTTAACTCTCACACAATACTAGTATTAAGATAAATTGGTACAGACTCTTTTAAAAGACACACTTTAAGAGCCATAAAATTTTTCATTGTATTTGCCTGAATAACTCTGTAAATTCACAGCAGAAACAAAAAGAAAACTGATTTGCAAAAACATTCATTATCCTTTCCTCTATAATGGAAAACAATCTGAATGATGAATTATAATTTTGAACTCTCAATGGACTATTATAGAGCTATCAAAGTTATTATTATAATGATGATAGCAACAGAAATACATGATGTTTTCTAAAAACTACGCTGAAATTACAACTATGTAAAAAGTTTAAACACATTGGGGTCTGCAAATGGAGTCTGTATTTTTGAATAACTTCTGATACTAAAATAAAAGCAATTTTAATCAGTGAACATATTACACAAGACATTAAACTATAAGTTAATATTTATTTTTTCTCTATCTTTTTTTTATTTTAGAGAGCACACATAAGTAGGGAAGAGGGGTAGAGGGAAAGAGAGAGAATCTTAAGCAGGCTCCACACTCACCACAGAGGCCAATGTGGGGCTCAATCCAACAACCCTGGGATCATGACCTAAGCTGAAATCAAGAGTTGGGCGTTCCACTGACTGAACCACCCAGGTGCCCCTAAATTAAGATTTCAATAACATATTTCAAAACGTCATATACCTCTGGGTAAACTTCAAATATGGTGTGTAGTCTATTACAGCAGGAAAGTTTCCATCCAATCCCTCTCCCTTGAGGCAGAAGCTAAGAAACAAATAAATATGTCACATAATACATCAAACCTTTAAATCGACCTTAAGCATTATAAACAATCTCTGGTTCAAGACATTTGTTTCATCAAATTGTAGGTAAATTTTTTATTCATATTTTAGATGTTACTTGTTACAAATAAACACCTCAATAAAGATACTCTGCATTCAATACCAATGACAAAGGACTGCACAATACACTCTAACCTGAATATATCATGCAAAAGAAAAATTTTCTGAGAAATCTGTTCAAACGTTATTTGACACTATTTTAGTCTTCACTGGATTTTTTAAGACGTCATTAAAGGATTTTCAAATGAAGACTTGTTCATGTTTTCATACAAATTCTTAGATGCCGCTGACTATATTTTTAAAAGATTTAACTAATTAGAAGATGACAGTTTTTTAAACTATGAATAAGTGAAAGGGCCTGGGTCTTAGACCTAAAAAGAAAGCTAAAAAAAATCCTTTTGATCATCAGTCAATCCTTTTTGAGGCCATGGCAACAGGAAAGGTTGCTACTTGCCCAAAGTCATACCGGGAGTCACATAAAGCCAGTAAAAAAAACTCTAGACCTCTGGTCTCCCAATCCAGTAATCTTTGTTTTGTAGGATGGTGTATCCAATATGATAATAAAAAAAGTGTTTAGTTTTATGGTCACTGTTATTAAAAAAGTACATCTACTAGGAACATAAACAAGAACATTTACAAGATATAGGTGGATCTTTCAAAAAACAAATTATTCTATGAACTCCTATGTTCTGATTTCTTTGGGAAGTCTGCCTATTGAAATTCCATTTATAAATGTTAATATCAAGAGTATCTTGGTATTGCTCCATACTTTTTCATGCTTGAATAAGGAGTGAGCCAAAGTGGCAATACTTTATAAGGGCTTTCCTTCATTTACAGAAATATTACTAATGTATCTTTAAGACATTTACTTTCAGCTGATCATACAGTATCATTGGGTTACAATAAACCAAGAGTTCACATTCTTATCCCAGGTTTTCTTTTTGCACCAAAAAACAGAAATGTAAAGGATTCAGACAGAACCAGCAGGATGACAGGTGAAAAATTAATACACTCAGAAGGATCAAAAAGACAACCTCCATATGGCATCTATCATTTTTGTATTCTAAACAATTAAGCTAATAACCTAATACTACTTTATTAAATTTTAAACAGAGGAAAGTTATACTGAGAAAATGAAAATATTTTGAAAAGGAAGTGATTTGCTAAAAAAAAAAAAAAAGGTACCCTCAGTGATTTGCTAAAAAAAAAAAAGTACCTGTATTAAAAATGAGCAGCATTATATTTCTATTAAAGATCTAAAGTAGATTTTCATTTAAGTTTTATACTTATTTTGTTGATACTCTTGGATTTTAAGTGATATTTTTCAATAAAATTGTAATATTTCCATTAATCTTATGTTTGAATTGTTATAAGCAAACTTTTTATTTTTAGCATAATGTAAAATCTTAGATCAATTAAAGAATACAAAAAGATACTTCCATGAATATATGAAAAACTTACATTTACCTTTTTAGAACTTACACTCAGTCTGAAATCAATTCATCTTGTTGATGATAGAAGCAAATATTAATAATATTTCTGATGGCCCAGATACATAATATAAAGACAAGATACCAAACACATCATGCCAGGAGTTTTTTATTTCAACACATGAGATCATGAAAATCTTTCTGGCTTTCCATCTACTTTCAGTGCATCTTTTCACTTTATAGCAGTAGCTGCAAAATACTAAGAGATAAGATCCAAAAACTTCCTTCAGGGCTACAAGGGTACATAATCTTTTGCTGGGGAGATATAGTCTAAGATTTGCCCAAACTACAGAACAAACATGTCAGTTAAATCCTTAACTTTGAGACAGTCTCTTTGCTGAGAGCAAACCCAGTTAGAAAGCTGATGTTACTGGAAAGGGAACGACATGAATCAAATATCAATATCCAGCTGTGTGCTTTACTTCTTATTAGCAAACCAAGAATAAAAGCTAAGTAGAAACTGGTATGAGGTAGAATAATTTAAAACCTGAATGCATTTAGACTAAGTACCTGAAATCAATGGCATTGAGTCCAAGCAGCATGCCAGCAAGCATATTTGCTTCCTCGCCCAAGACAATTGCTCCATCGTCATAAAATCGCCTATAAAATGAAACGGGTAAATATATAAATATTAAAAACAGACTGAAGTATCCTCTGTAGAAATTATTTAGAAACCAAACTAAGGTATAAAGAACTAAATTTTATTTATCAAAATAAAAACTATTTGGATCAGCCAATTCTTGAAGATATTTAGGAAAAAAAACAAAAAATGCTGCCATAAGAACAGCAACAAAAAATTATTCTAAGTATTTCCACCACTTTTAAAAAGAACTTCCAAAGTAACTCTTTCAACTGGCCAAGACTGCCTACTCTGTTTCCCTAACAGCGAAGCAATATAAATGTAATCTGAAAGGTGGAAAATTCACATTTTTACTGGTCTAATTTTGAAATTCTGTAGATATTATTGTATATATAGAAAAAGACAAACACACATTGCTTTTCTGTAAGTACAAGAAAGTCCATTTATTAACTAAATGGAGAACTAGAGAGATGTGATCATTAGTAATTCATCCTAATCTTTTAACACTACAATACTAATGAGCTAGCAGGATGTTTGCGTATGAAAAAGGAAGTATTCATTATCTCTGACAAAATAAATTATGAATCCACCTCTCTTAATTCTTGTAAAGCTTATTGTTTTGGTTAATGTCAGTTTTTAAAATACTACAATTTTATTTTAAAATATTTAAAATAAGTATTTTGAGAAAATATTATGATAAGAGTCTATGGCATTTTTCCACAAATAAGTACGATCATTGTATTTACTTTTAAAAATAATACTGTGCAAAAACTAGTTTATGTTCAATAACCAGGCATCATTTGATTGTATTACCTATTTATATTAGATATAGACAGTGGACACCACTCTGTAAGATCCCACCAACTAAAAGGAAATTTTAGTAATGGAATTTTAGTAAATTTTATTTATTTTATTTATTAAATTAATTAATTAATTAATTTTATTTATTAAATAAAATAATTTTATTTATTTATTTATAAAATAAAATTAAATAAAATTTATTTATTTATTAAATTAAATTATTCCATTTTAGTAAACGGAATTTGTCTTACTCTTTTTAGTCATGAGTTTATTAAGGCTGCAAAAAAATTTAATAAGCTCATAATCCACCAATTTTGCATAGTTCATAGTTTAAAAAATACTTTTACAAACATATCCTTTGATACTTCTTTAAAAAGTCCATGAAGCAAAGGTGGAAAGAACTATTATTAGTTTCAAATTTTCCATCAAGGAAAGTTAAGAATTAGGTTAAAACAATTTGCCCAAGCTCATGCAGATAAACTGCTCAAGGAAGAAACATAATTCTTCTTACTTTAAGTTCTATATATTTTCTTTTAAACCTTATCACTTCCTATAAAACAAAAATATTTAAAGAGAATTTAACCTATATTATAGTTCATAAGGAATTTTAAATGAGTGAAAAGTACAAAGGAAAATAAGAGACCTTCTGTCAGATACAAACAAATATGTGGGAAGACTTGCCTGGAATAGAGGTTTTGTGTTTCCTTGGAAATATGGGAATTGCTTTTATTGATTTATGTAAAAAGAGAAAAACTAAAACTTCCAGCCTAACAGAGATTAACAAAACAAGTGGAAAAAATTTCTATATACTTAAGGTTTTCCACAAAAAGGTAAAGATATTTAAATAAATTTATATACCTGAGATTTTGCCACTGTTCCAATAGCTAAAATGGCTGTTGACAAAATATTTTGACTCCGAAAAGAGTTATGATTACAATGGCTCTAGAGCCCAAATTCTGTTGAACACATGCCTTAAAAAGAATTCTGGTTTTTGATAACTGGGAGTCACCCATTATTCCTAGTATTTCCCTATATAAGAAAAGGTCTTTTTTTTTTCTTTTTTAATTTTGAGTCCACCATGCTTAAAAGTACATTCTAAGAGTCAGATCAAAACTATTTCTGCTTATTCCTAATGTCAACATTGTGTTAGGGACTGCTGAAGAATACCAAAAACACACACATATCTCACCAGTTTCAGAGATTTCTTAAAGTCTAAAGATCTTATACAATATTCTTTTCAGGAGTTCTTTGGCTTAAGTTTTACTAATAATTTTTTAAGTAAACCAATATAAGTGAAACACTTGCTATATGTGAAATAATTCCACTTAAATAAAACAATACCTGAAGTGGAATGCTGCATAGACCTCATTTATTATGAGTTTTTACTGAACCAGAAGGGATGGGAGGACAAACGGTAGAGGAAGTGCTACTTAACGAGGTGTCCACTGTATGCTCAACATCTTCACTATTAATGCAAGCTAAGAAAAAAAGTATTTTTCATAAAATACACTTCTGAGATAACATTTAAAAAATAATTCAGTATTCAAAAAAATACTGAGTTAAAGTGATCTGAACCGAAAAGGTATTTTTATCATTTAACCAAAGACATTACTCCCATGTATTAAAGAAGAAGCTGTTAGGAAAAATTAATTTTTTTTCTCTTAATCAAATCAACGTATCAATTTTGACTGGAAATCTGATTCTTGTTATCAACCCTTTCAAAGACTTCAAAAAAACCTGTAAACATCTACATTTTATCTTATAGAAAAACTGGAGCATTAATAAAGTTTGCTTATATAACCAAAGTTATGTAACAAATGAACCAAGGGTAAATCCTAAATGACTAAATTCAATAATAGTAAGGTATACACTAAAAAAATTCCCTTTTATTGAAAATATTTTTTGTTCTAAAGAAAATAATTGTATGAGAAGGACCTAACCAAAACAGTATAACGAATTGCTAAAATATATTATAAACAATGAAAGTACCAAGGTGAAAAAGATGTATTAAAACTTCAATTTAAAGCTTTATACATTAAATTGTATCCCTAAAGAAGTGTTACATGTTAGAAACAAAGAAAAATTATGAGCAACTACTGATATTACTGTATCTGGAGGAAAAGCTTCCACTGTAAAAATTTTTTTCCATGTTTATTTTGAGAGAGAAAGAGAGAGAGAAAGAATGAACAAGTGGGGAAGGAGCAGAGAAAGAATTCCGAACAGGCCCATCACTGACAGTGCAGAGCCTGATGTGGGGCTTGATCTCATGAACTGTGAGATCATGACGTGAGCCTAAATTAAGAGTTGGACGCTTAACCAACTGAGCCACCCAGGTGCCCTGCTTCCACTTTTTATTAGGTATACTCTTTCCAATCATTTGTTGACTACAAAAATATCAGAAACCAGAAAACCATTTAAAATAACACCCTAATAACAACCATACTTTTTCTCTTATCATATATAATTTAACTCTCATTGAAATATATCTCTATAATTCTTTCTTTGGTGTTCATTCTGTAAAACTATTTGAAGGCCCTTCAGGTACTTCAATAACAAATACCCTTTGAATTGCATCCAAAGGAACCACCAGAGTATCATACTGATACTATATAATATCAGGCTTCAAATTTTCCTTTTTTGAGAGTCAAAAGTTATTAGACACACTGAAAATGCAATACTAAAGTATGAGAAAGTTTCTCTTCTAAACCAAAGAAATTTCATTATCACATTCTTGCTCCCTTGCCCAGTTTAGTCTCTATGTATGAAATTTTAAGGGAGGAAGTTAGAAAAGTCTCCCTCATGACATCCAAAATAGATTATAGTATTATAAATAAATGTTATATTCCATTCAAAGACAAATTGAATCAGAATGAAACCTGACTAAAAAGTAAATCTCCAAATATCTTGCTAAGAATGTGAGATTCATTAATTATTTTATCAACAAATATAGAATAAGTTCCTACCATGTGGCAAGAACTGTGCCAGGTATGAAAGTTAAATAGTGGATGACCTAAGCATGGTCCCTCTCCATGAAGCTTACCGTCTAGGGGAGGGGACAGGCAACAAACAAGAGAAAAAGGTAATTAGACTTGGTAAGTAGGATAAGCAAATAAATAGGTTGTTGAAGTAGAGAAAAACTGAAGGAGAACTCAACTCTGAAGAAAATCACTATTAGGAAAGGCATTCTCAAGGGTTAAGCCTTATGCCCAGAGAAGTCTGATCACACAGGGCTCTGCAGGCCATATAACATTAATAATAAATGTCAACATTTACTGAGTGCCAAGCACAGTTACAAATGCTTGATATGAATAATCTTCCTTAACTTTACCAGCACATATTATGCCAGGGAGGGATTAAGAACTTGTGTAAGACTCTACAGATAGAAAGTGGTGAAACTAGGATTTGACTCCAAGAAATATGTTTGAAGAGAAACCATTCTAGACCTAAGTGGGAATTAACACAATCCTTTTAACATTCAAGAAGATTGGCTGGAAGATAAATGGCTAGTAGAAGGGTGAAAACTGGAAGCTCAATTAGGGCACCAATAAGGGAGTGTAGACAAGAGATAAACAAGGTATTTATTACTGTAACCGTCATGGAGATTGAGGTAAATAGATCAAGATATATTTTGGAGAGAAGATTGACAAGACTTGATAATTAGGAATTATTATAGAAAATGAGGGAGAAAGAGAAATCAAATACGAATTTTAGATTCTGACTTGATCAACCATGTAGGTTGACTGTGAGACCACTTGTTAAGGAAGAGGTAAAGAAGATTAGAGGGGAAAAAAATCTCATCTAAACTCGCTAGCTAGAGATTTAAATGTGGTGTCATGATCATACAGGTGGTATTTAAAGCCATTCTAAAAATTCTACGAAGACAGAAATGAAAATGAATAGAGAATAAAGATAACACAATACAGGGCTAAGTCAGGAAATACTGATCTTTCAAAGTTGTGAAGAGCATGGAGAATGAGCTTCTTTTCACAGAGTCATTATTTTATCCCATTCCATCTTGATTTGATGTCAATCAAAATATACCACCGGATATTTAGTACAAAAAAAAAAAAAGGCAATATGCTAGTGCGAACACACCAGTTACTGCATGCAGAGTAAAGGAATGAGGAACGGGAAAATGAAAGAATAAACTATCAACTAGTACTCAGGATGTGGTGGAACCAAACTGAGTTTTTTAATTTAAAAAAAATTTTTTTAATGTTTTTATTTATTTTTGAAGGAGAGAGAGACAGAGCATGAGCTGGGGAGCAGAGAGAGAGGGAGACATAGAATTTGAAGCAGTCTCTAGGCTCTGAACTTTCAGCACAGAGCCTGATGCGGGGCTCGAATTCATGAACTGTGAAATCATGACCTGAGCCAAAGTCGGATGCTCAACTCACTGAGCCACCCAGGCACCCCTTTCCTTTTTTTTTTTTTTTTTTGCATGTTTACTCATTTTTGAGAGATAGCGTGTGAGGGGCAGTGAGAAAGGGAGACACAGAATCCGAAGCAGGATCTAGGCTCTGAGCTGTCAGCACAGAGCCTGACGCGGGGCTCGAACCCATGAACCCACTGAGATGTGACCTAGGCTGAAGTCGGACACTTAACCGACTGAGCCACCCAGGCGCCCCAAACTGAGGTTTTTAACACAGATGTATTCTTGGTCTGTACGAACATAGTTCTGGAACAAAGTGGCAGGTTCCTTCTTTAGTAGACACCTTCTGTCTGCTGCTGGAACACATCAGTTTTATCTTCCTCCTCTATTTCCAACTGTGTGGGTATGTCTGTTTCACTGGCTGGCTGTCTTTCAAATGGGAATCTGATCTGCCTTATAGACAAACCCTGTGGTTGATGAAGGCTCGTGGTTGCTAAGTATGCCTCTTAATCTTTTTTTTTATTTTTTACTTTTTAATGTTTTAATGCCAATGTATCTACTTTTTCTTTAATTGTATAATGTATTTGCTATTATGGAAATTATTCCTAAATCAGGGTCAGGAAGATTTACATTTATGTTTTCTTCCAAAGAGTTTTCATGGAGTCTGATCCATTTTGTTAATTTTTGTATATGAAATAAGGTAGTAGTGCACAAGCAGTTTATTAATGTTTTCATCTTAATAGCCATAAAATATAAGTATTTTATTTATATTTTTAGAAATAAATTATTTTAAAATATTTCAATATTTAATATATTTTTAATATATTTATAAAATATTTAATTATTGTGTTTATGAATTTAAACCAGTTCTAAGTCTTTCTGTAGCTCTTGAAGATATCGACCAATTTTCACTATTCTATCTACTTTTCTGTAAGTGGGAAAAGTATTTATCAACTCCTTTTTCACTTTGTGACAGCTCAGTTAATTTTTGAAGTTTGGTTTCATACTTCACTCCTTCCTTCTCTTACACCTACTATAGTATAAAAAAATTATTATTTCTTCTGAGTACAACTTTTGTCATAAAATTAAGTGCTGGTGTAAAGTAACAAACAGGTCTCTACAAAACTAATTTTATCTCTACTTCATATTTTCCATATTTGTTACTTCAAATTCTTACCAGAATGGTTTCAATCTTATCTTGTTTCAAGTATCACATTTGTGTTTTTTAGCTTAACTTTTCTAACTATTTTTCAGTCTGTGGGTAGGGAGAAATTAAAACTTGGAACAAATTAATTCAGTTTCTACTTTACTTCTCTATTTCTCAGTCTTCCCAGTAACCTACAAAAACAATTGCCCACCTTTTTTTTTTTTTTTTAAGTTTGGATTCTAATCTCAACTCTCTAACCTCCCAACTCTGGCTATTTCCCAGTAACCCCTCAATCCCTAAACCAGAAACCCTGCAAGGGTTGTTTCCAACTGCTCACTAAGACATCCTCCATCTTAGCAAAAAAAAAAAAAAAATCACTTGTATTTCTCTAACACTACAGAGCCATGTGATGTGCTCCTACAAGATAATTTACTATATTTCTGTTCCCCTACTTCTTCACCCAATCTTATCCTTGGATTTTCACAGATTATTATTCTCAAGCTTGCCTATCTTAGCTCATGTAGCTCCTCCTTCTGTCCTGGGGTAAACACTTGCATCACCATTTTAAAGGACGTCATTACTCTTTATCTGTGAAGAGTAGAACAAGAAAAGAAGACTTGATTCAGATACTCTCAAGATTCCTAAAGGACCAGAGATCATTTCTCATTGTTCTACAAGCACTTATGTCAGGAGCATCCAGACAAAAGGTAAGGTATAACTATTCTTTCCAATAGTTTGCTTGCATTTCACAAGCCTAATCTTCCAAATAGGTATGTTTCAGCCAGAGGTTCACAATCAAATTTATTTATAATTAAGAAGTTTCTTTGGTTTGACTTCAGTAAAAAAAAAAAAAAATAGCATAGTTTTGTTTTGCTTTTAAAAAGGAAGACTTTTTGCAACTGCATTTTTTAACTTCTAAGATGAGAATTCTGAAATAACACCCTCCTTCCTTTTCTGGAAATTAGAGCCATTGTATTAGCACTTAAATACTATGGGAGCATATATTATATAAACATATATTTGCTTGCATATGTGTAGAAACATTTACTAAGCCATGTTTCTGTTTCAATAATGTGTGCTTATATATTTTTACAAGAGTATTTTTACTTCATGGACTTTTTTAGAGCTGAATCATTTCCTTTTTATCAAAAAAGACAGCTAACACCTAAGAACAAGCCAAAAAGCATTTCCCTTTAAATATTTGAACTATTCAGTCTAAAAATGATCTATTCAAGAACTATTTCTACTCCACTCATTTGTCTAAGAAACAAGACTAACAACTTAGATTATCAATGCTTTAATTTCTATTCAGAAGACTAGCATAACTTTAATGCAACTATGCAAATGCACAGGAGACGTTTATTGTGTAAACTTCATTTTGATTTCATTGATTTAGGATTTATAGGTTTGATCTATGAGATTCTTATACTACTTTTATCTTCAAAACCTTAGTATCCTCAATATTTGGTATCTTCCATAATTAAACTTATTTACTAGAAATAATAAATAGAAGTAACAAAATTTTCATTTCACAAAGTTCATCTCAAACATCTAAGAGTTCATCATTTCACTGCCCAAGGAATCATACTGCAATAAAAGAATTCAGTAAGTACATATCAAACAATTATGTGACATGATGGAAGTGTTAGTGATATGACAGTAATCATTTGATAGTAATAAGTGTATCAAATCAACATGTTGTACACCTTAAACTTCAAAATATGTCAATTATACCTAAGTAAAGTGGGAAAAAAACAAAGCAAAAATGTATCATAATAAATGCCCAGATTTTTTCAAAATCCAAAATGCCAAATATTGCAACAGGACATGGAAATTAAGATTCCAGATATATGAGTTCTTTATATATGGCCCTAATTGCTCTATCAAAACTAGTTTCTAGTTGTCACTCTTTTCTTCTCTTTCAGAAATATGATTTATGAGGTAGTAATATGTATGGTAATTTAGAAGTGCCTAAGGCAGTGTGGTCCAATAGAATGTTCTACATATGTGCTGTCCAGTTTGGTAGTCATTAGCTGCACATGCCTACTCAACACCTGAAATGTGACATGGCAACTGAAGAAGCGATTTGGTAATTTTATTTACTCTTAACTGACAGTAATTTACATGGTGGCATGTGGTTAGTGGCCACTGTATTGAATAGTACATGTTTAAGGTACTGAAAGTACTGAATATTTTCATTTACAAATACTTTTGAAATGCAGAAAATCATTTTTTTAACAACAGTTATAAGCATAGAGATTAGCAGACCAGAGTTTTATAGGAATGCCTGTTGTCCTAATATGAACCTTTTCTTTTATCATTGTAAAAAAGTAAAGTCACATGGCACAGTATGTCATCTCTTACGTGTATACAACCTAAGAAAAACAACACTAGTCTAGCCTGCCTTAAAAAGACAACTGAGCAATCACTAGTTATATGTATGAATTAAATGAAAGAAATAAAATAAATGTAATATAGAAAGAGAAAGAATGCTATAGGAATCTGATGGTGAGATTTTTCTTCAAATTGGTCAGGGAAAAGCCTGTGGAGAGAATGAACTTCAACTATTAAAAGTGTGAGAAATAGAAATGATTCAGAAAGATACTCTAGGTATAATGTAAAGCCTGAAAAGATAAACTCAAGAAGATGCATGGTTAGCTGACAAATGGCATTTTCCTGAGAAGATAGTGGATTTACCTGAGCAGTACAAAAAAAGAGGAAATAAAATAGCTAAGGACTTAAGATAGGAATGAATCTTCATCTTATTCTTACTTCTAATCTTTAGGTGATTCTTTTAAATATATATTTGAAAATCAAAAAGACTTTTAAACCTGGTTGTTTTGAAGTCTCTCAGAGCTGTAGAGATGTATTCAGATAAGTGTTTTTCCATGAGTGCTACTCTAATCCAGGCTCTACCCTAAAAGGAAGAAGAAAGAATCAAATGTGAAAAAAAATTACAGGTTAAAAAAATATTTTGTCCACTGTAATCAAAAATATAAGCATTTTAATATGTAAATAACAATTCAGTCAAAATATACATTTGATAAAGACTAAAAAATATTTAAGTAGATAAGAACAGGTAGGTTTTGATTATATAAAGTTTGTTTTTTTGTCATTTGTTTCTCTAAATATATAGGGTACTATATGTCATACTAATTTTCTATCAGCTGTAGGGAGGTAACTATTAATATTGAGTTACTCGGGTCAGAGACTTTACGTAACTCTACTTCAATGCCCAAATTAACATGCTAATTAAAATGAGTCCCCTTATAAAACATGAAGAGCAGAGTCCATTCTTTTTTTTTTAAATGACCATTGCCACACCACTTGTTTAAGAAAACTTCCCACCTATCCTTCCAGAGGGAGGTTTTAGATAACTAATATTGAACCAAATTTCATTACGTACCATGCATCCAAATCATGAGTTACTGAGTTTGCACCCGTAACATTCTAAAACTATTACCAAATATTTTAACTGGAAAAAACAAACTCACAATAAAGTTACACAAAACCATATATTCTAGTAGAAAATCACATAAGCAGACAATTCTGACTAAATGTGAATAATTTAATTTTACTTTTGAAAGGGGTAATATCATTCAATAGTTGAGACTAGCCAGTTTTGTTTTTGTTTTTTCTTTTTTTTTTTTTTTTTTTTTT